GCCATCCGCTTCGTAGAGAAGTATTCTAATCCAAGCTCAGTTACAATAGACAGCTTCATGAGTTAACGCTCTTAGCCACTAAAGGAAGTCTGTGTTCAAGTGGACTCAAGAGTCAGAGTTATTATCACAATATAACACGAACATAAAGAGAATTAAGACCTATTACGGGTCATTAAAAGCAATTTAATTTGATAACTATGGTCATATTTCTCTCGACGAAGAAAAGTGGAACTAACGGCAAGTTTTTTAACGTGTTAGGTTTTTTCTGCAGCTTTGGTAAGGCAACGAAGAAGATCCATTATTAAATATCTATACTTATATTATAAATGTGTGAGTAAGTTCGTTTGTTACGTTTTCACGCCTAAACCACTAAACCCATTTAAAAAAGTATTTCACCAATGGAAAGCGACATACACGCAGGCAGTTTTAAAAATAAAAACAATTTAAAAATAATGCATTGAACTTGGTCCAATCTACGAGTCTCAGAATTACATAGCATCTTCGAACTCATATATGTTAGTCATTCAGTTTACTATTTAACGTCTTACTACGTCTGCGGTAGAATGACCTTTTAAACATTACGTCATCCTTATTTGTTTTGTTAAGTTAAGGACATTTAAATATAGTTTGTTTTAACAATTATGAATATTGTGAAAAGTTGTTTATTTTTTAAACAGTAACATTGAATTTACAAGTAGAAGTTGTCTACAACTGATAATTTCACTACCTACCCCAAAGACAAGTTAGCACATACATCGGTGCAAATGGAACTTTTCCTGATTGAGATTGTATTTTTCAATGCACAAATGAAGAAAATGTTGACATAACAAATGTGTTTACTTTGTTCATACCTGCCTTTCAATAAAATCGTTAAAATACTTGGATGTTAGTTCATACCACCTTAATAAGTGAATCATTTAATACTTATTCCGATACTAATCAGCGTTCCATTTACGGCAAAATCTATGTCAATTTTACAAATAAATATATCTGCATTATCATGAAAACATAATAAATTACCTACTTGATTGGATAGATTAAATGTATTTCTATTGTTCTTTATGTATCATATCGTATGCTGACACATTATGTATAAATAGGCACTTTTACCAACTAATTTCATGGTATTAGGTATATAAATACCTTCTGAAAAAAAAATCTGGACAAGTGCAAGTTGGACTCGCGAACCAAATTTGTAGGTACATATTACAAATAGTTTAGGAACCGAGTCTCGCAGTTTTTGCCGAGCTTTGGCCGAAATTCAGTTTCCAAAACCTATAATTACTTAGATTATTGTGTTTTATAAGTGAATTGTACTTCGACGATTAATTACGTACCTTAAATAATTTATGATTTAATTACTGATGTTAAGTTTCCATATTTTTTCCCTGTACTTGTAGTGTAAGACAAGACAATTACTTGCCAAATTTCATGGTTCTAGGTCAACGGGAAATACCCTATAAATTTTGATTCCCTTGAAAGTGTCGAAATATGAGTTTTTGCGACATAAACTTGTTGTACTTATCTTTGTTGTACGTTAACTTGGAAGATTTTTTTTTTTTTTTTACAGCTTCAGGGGACTGTAGACTCAGGTCTTCAGGTCATTAAAACCAGACACTCAGGTGTCTAGTTTTAATTTCAAATCGATAGCTGCGTACCGTGACAGACGGACAACAGAGTGATCCTATAAGGGTTCTGTTTTTTTTAGGTATGGAACCCTAAAAAAGGCAAGATAATAAATGTAGCTTTCTTATTCTACTATCTTCTGAATATTTAAAAATTATGAAATACTAAAAAGGCTTTTCCCGCGTATTGGATTCGCGGAGAAGTTCTCCTATACATTGCTAACTGTATTTTTCTACGTTCTTTATTGAACTTCTTACAAATTGTAACAGTTTGTGATCATACGCTTACTAGTTAAGGCATGAAAGCGTGACAAACAAAGCACTCATATACTCATTTAAATAATAATTTTATTTAGGATTAGGATCAGGATAGTAAACCACTTATCTAAGTATGCCTACAGATTAATTGAAAAAATTCGACCACGAACCTAAAAATCTTATGGAATGAAATCTACAAAGGGTTTTATTAAAATAATGAAGAATAACATAAAATAGTTACCTACGATGCCTTCTTTCACCATGGGAGCATTGCAGTACCAATAAACACTAGGAACACATAGAAGTAAAAATTATAATAAGTTTTTATTGCATTAAGTAAATACAACAGATCTTACGTGCTAATCTTATTTGTTACTCGTAAAATTTTTGAATATTTGTTTTGATGTATTGTAAAACAACTTTGTTCCCAATATTATATTCTAAGCCCTACTACTTATACTAAGGATAACCTGTTTCATAAGCAGCAGTAATCGATCGTTAATGTAGTCAGTCAAGAGTCACAAATGCAGTAGCACCCCACCTCAGCCTATGCTTGTCCACTGCTGGACATAGGCCTCTCCCAATGATTTCCAGCGGGGACGGTTGATTGCGGCCTGCATCCAACGGTTTCCGGCAACCTTTACCAGGTCGTCCGTCCATCGGGTAAGTGGTCGTCCCACACTGCGCTTTCCAGTACGTGGTCTCCATTGGAGAACCTTGCTGCCCCATCGGCCGTCAGTTCTCCTTGCTATGTGCCCTGCCCATTGCCACTTGAGCGCGCTAATCCGTTGGGCTATGTCAACCACCTTTGCAGTAGCACCGTAATGTTCAAATTCGCAAGTCGGTTCGGTTTCGATGCACATACATATTAAAACCAGAAAATACAGACGTATAATGTTGGTTGGTCACATGCATGTGTGCACAACACTAGATAACTAGACACCTATTTAAACGTTTTCTTCGTATTGAACTTCCAGTGGTAGCACCTATTTGAAAGCGATGCTAAAATCCACGATTAGCTTACTTCATACCGTTTGTCTGATGACGAGTGGTGACCGTTTAAGCCTCAGTGCCTGACCACTTTTTGTTTTCATGTCAGGATATATTTTGCGAATTCTGTTAGAAATGACTGTAAGTTCACGGAAATAAGGTAAAAATGTAATTTAATGGAAAAGGTATATTCATAAGGTAATTTATTTTAATTTTTTATCAATTTTTAAAACAAAATAAACGTTAAAAATAAACAAATTTAAGTTGAATATTTTCATTAACTATTTTGGTTGCTTATCACAATTTGTTCTTGTTGTTTATAGAGGTTGACAGTTTAATTTGTTAATTTTTTTAAGGAAAAGAAGATTATAACTTTACCTTTATATTACAATCATAAACTAACTTATTACTATTACAGAAAACACATCCCCTAAATTGCCCTAAGGAAAAGGTATTTCTATTTAAATTTAAAATTTATTTTTATTAAAACTTAGTGACCTAGATTGTTTATAATACAAATAAAAAGACGTTGACGCATGGAAACCACTGAACACGTTTGTTATATGGTTTAGATCAAGGGATAGCGCTGGCCATAGAATAACCTTAACATTCGGATAGTGACGAAACCATTCACTAGTAATATCAGCACCGTGTATCGCACATGTATCTTGAATAAAATAAGTTCACTAAATTCTTCAACGGGATAAACAGGTAGCACACACCACAGTAGATAGCTTTATGTAGTTTAAAACCCCGACGTAATTGAAGTCTAGTTGGTTTGGAACCATTTGTTTTACATTCACAAGCTGGATCAGGCCAAAATCTCCTTTCTAAGAAGAGGCCTATGTTCAGCAGTAGACTTTTATAGGTTGTTGATGATGACGATGACACTGGTTAACAAGTGACTACTGGTTAATAATCTTTTCGCTAAACGTTTCACAGCTTTTTTTCAAAAAATACTAATTCTTATTAGACATAAAACTTAAGAGATTGTAAAAAAAACATACTTAAATACACTTGCACTTAAGCGGGTTTTATATTTCAGATATTGAGCCCACGTAAAGCTATAACGTTAGCCCTGGCTTTAATACTAATATTTGCTTTCATTTTAAATACAGATATAAACATCAGTAGCAATTAATAACACAAATGCTCGTAACTAAATTCACTTGCCGAGGTCAAAACTTGAGGGTGTTTTTGAAACAATAAAATAGTTTGTTTCAAATCTACCCCCAACTTTAAGTGACTACTAGTTTAAAATATTGAATCAAAGATTTATATTCTTTGACGTTCCTTACAATACTGCACCCATAACCACATTCCATGAATTCGCAAAAAGTTACTGTAAGGTTGCATGAGTTTTGACGGCGGCATTTGCATTGGAGCGTCCACAGCAGACGGACAATTATTGATTGCGTTGAAATTAGTTACTATACGAATGTAGAGTGTACATATATGTGTGTGTAATATATGTTAGTAGAAGAAGGGTAAAAGTGCCACTGGACTTATGACTGCGTCCGTACATGAAGTTGTTTTCGTAAAGCGAGTGTGTCTGATTGTACGGGTGAGTGAGTGAGTGAGTGTGTGTGTGTTTCTTTTTTTTTCCAGAGGGATGGATAAAAAGTACTGTTACGTATTATCAGGGTCTAACCCGGGTATGTCGGACTCGATGTTATGACTACACCCATAACGACTAAAAAAAACCTCCTCTGGCGTCAACCTCCTCTTCCCCTACGGTACCGCCGCAAGGCATTACTTCGTGGAGGGAGGCTCTAGCTAATGCTCTTCCATCGTGCTAATGTCACGGGTTTTGATTTCCGACCGCTTTCTTTCTAACCGACGGAGTTCCTGAAGAACTCCCGTCGCAAAAGCGCTTGTCGCCTGCCATACTGCATCCGATGACAGCATAGCTTCTATCAAAAACTCTGGCTGAGTTTTCTTTGTAAGGGCCTCTGCCCAGGTACTGCGTAACAGGTCGAAACGAGGACACGCAAAGAACACGTGCTCTGCATCTTCACTAACTCCTGGGCAGGACGGGCACATCGGAGATACCACTTACTTATATTTATAGCGGTATGCCCGATAGCACCCATGTCCTGAGATCATTTGTGTCAGGTAGTAATTGACCTAACCATGATTACGGTTTACCCAGACATCAACTTGTGGAATAAGACGGTAGGTCCATCTGCCTTTTGTACTGGTATCCCACTTTGATTGCCATCGTCGTATACTGTTTAGCCGTTCCTCCTTGCCAAGTTTTCCAGGGCTCAGTGTGGTCGTTACTTTACGGTGGTAAAGGGCTTTCCGTTCTTCGGCTAATACTTCAATTGGCACCATCCCGGCAATGACGTTCACAGCGTCGTCAGACACTGTGCGAAAAGCACTGGCAATTCTCAAAGCACTTAGCCAATATACTGGTGCAATTTTCCTTCGTGCTTCCTGTATTTTAAGCGCATCGGCCCAGATGGGGATTCCGTAGTTGAGTACGGATGTTACTACAGAGGTCAGTAACGCCCTCCTTCTCTGCTTCGGACCTCCTATGTTGGGCATCAGCCTTAATAAAGTCGCTCTGACCACCGACGCTTTGGCGCCCACGTGTTGTGCCTGCTGCTTGAAGTTGAGTCGGGCGTCAATCATAACGCCGAGATACCGAAGAGACGGCTAGGATGTGATTTCATGTGCTCCGACCTGCAGTGTGATGGTTTCCAACCGCTTCCTGCCAGTAACGAGTACTGCCTCAGTCTTGTGTTCTGCCAACTGCAGTCCAACTGTGTTCATTCAGTGGCTAATCTTTTCGATGGTAGCATCAAATGCAAAGGTAATTTCTTCGGAATGCTTTGCAACGACCACTACGGCCACATCATCTGCATATGCTACGACTTGACTTCTTTTGGAAGTTCTAGTTTTAATAATACGTCATACATGATATTCCACAAAAGTGGGCCTAGAACTGAGCCTTGGGGTACTCCTCCAGTGACTTTGAATGTTTTCGGACCAGTCTTTGTGTCATATTTTAGGATCCTGTCAGAAAAGTAGCTTGCAACCATCATTCGTAAGTATCCTGGTACCTTCATTTCGTAAAGAGCTTTCATAATGCAATCCCATTTGGCGGAATTGAAGGCATTTTTTATATCTAACGTTGCTACCAGGCAGTACTTCTTCGTACCTCCCTTCCATCTGGTTCCGGCGATTGCGTCCTTAGCTGTATTGACGACAATGCTAATTGCATCCAAGGTAGAGCGTCCTTTTCGAAAGCCGTATTGGCTGCTGGAAAGAAGCGGTTGGGCTGCTGCTTCTATCCTTCTGTGTAATATGCGTTCGAGTATTTTGCCAGCTGTATCCAACTTGCAGAGCGGACGATAGGATGTTGGTTCTTCCGGAGGTTTCTTTCCTATGGGGAGGAGAACTAATCTCTGCTGTTTCCACATCGATGGGAACGTACCTTCTGCGAGGCACTTGTTATAAACGTCAAGGAATATTGCAGGCGCTGCTTTAATGGCAGCTTTTAGTGCAATATTTGGGATTCCGTCTAGGCCCGGAGCTTTCGTATTCCCTACTCTAGAACATGCTTCGAACAGCTGATTTTCTGTAATGGGTGGAATTTCTTCTGTTTCAGATTGCTCTATCTAATGATGTAGTTGCATTTGGTGAAGAAATAGCGTGGCAACGATCTTGTCTAAGAGTTTAGGACAAGTGGGCGATGGCATTAGCTGGCTTTTCAGATGAGTCATGACTACCTTATACGGTTTGCCCCATGGGTCGTCTTCTACCTCAAGAATCAGCTCATTCCAACATCGTCTTTTGCTGTCTTTGATGGCTTTGTTTAGTCTTTGGCGAGTTTTTTTGTATACTGCCATCAGTTCCTCATAGTTTGGTCTTTTACTACAGCGTTGTGCTGTTCTTCTCGCCTTACGATACTTTTTGCGGAGGTTTCTGATGTCCTCGTTCAACCAATGCATCGAAGCAAGCCGGATCACAGCACGCTTCCTGGGCATGGCGGTGTCGCAGGCTTCTGTAATTGTCTTCATCAGATATTTTGCCATATTTTCCGCATTTCCATCACTGATTGGTTCACTATTAAGAGCCACCATGAATACCGTTGAACGGACTTGCTCATCAGGAACATCTTTCTTGACCCGACTGAGTATATCCGCATACTTTTCTTTTTCTTTAGGTCGAACAATCAGTGCATTGGGCCTCCCCACTGACTGTCTTGGCTTCTTCCTTTGAGACTGCTTCTACTCTTTTTTGGATTTGACTGTCTGCCACTCTAATATCTTCTTGTCGGGTAATTGTGTTGTATTTTCAGCGAGTAGGGTGGGTCCTGTTTCCTTCATTTTCTTCGCGTTCTTGCTCCCCGATTCATGTGGTGTCCGATCTTTTCGTTTAGCCCTGCGAATATCACGTTTTTCTTCAGTGAGGGACACAACATCAGTTTCGAACTCCGTACACATGGTGTTGATGGTGTACATGAGACTATTGGTGTCAATTTATTTCGAGACTGCCTTGTGAGTCGGGTATCTTCCAACGTTTTTAGTCTCTTGAAAGCACTGCCAATACTGGCCACCTTGGTTTTTATCTCCTTGTGGACGTTTATTTTAGGTTGGACAAACTCTCAGAGAGAGAGAGAGAGAGAGAGAGAGAGTGTCATCCCTCACATCACGTAAGTAAGCTCAGACACTTCAGACACGGACACAGTTATGTCTATGCTTTGTTACGTGACGGACGTTAGTATAGTCCTGTTTTAGAAGCCACTCTGGAGAAGTAGATAGTAGATAAACTGCTAATAGTAACCGTTCGTATTATGTAATATTTATTACGTAACATAAATCAGACATCGTCAATTATTATATTATTTTCTAAATTAGTCTTTAGCGTTTATATTAATAATTTGTTAACTTTCATTTATATAGCTGAGATAATGTAAAGTAAGCGTTTGTCATAATATGAGTATCCTGATTGAAGATGAAATCAGTAGGTATTAATAATAATAATATTTTACACATCTCACACACGGCGGTCTGATCCTACACTAGGTAGAGCCTGTACTATGGTAACCAGACTGCTGATAAACATACTTATAAATTACTAAATACATACATATTATAGATAAAGTACACCCAGATACACAACAAATGTTAAGATGCTTTAAAAGGTGACAGTTCTAAAAATAATAATAAATAAAAAACGTATATAATATATCAAATACCTTTTATAACAGGATAAAAAAAATCTTTTATACCTCGTAATACGGTTTGGTGTTACACTCTTTTATTATAAGCCAACCTTTAAAACTCTTTATTACGTAGTTATATGATGAGTTGATATTAAGTTGATGATGAACCATAAAAGTAAGACTTTACCTTTCAGGGGTTAATAACCTTACTATCGTCTCATATTCTGTTGTATGAACTTTTATATCAATCATTTTATGTTACTCTAACCCTTATAAATGTTTATTACTAATATTGAAAATAAAAACATATAAAACCAGTGTAAAAATGTAAAATCAATAAATTAAAAATAATCAAAATTCTATAAAAATAAATAAGAAATCGCCAATGTAAAATACCAAGATATACATTTGAGTTGGCCCTGTTGTAAGTTATACATTTACAACAAACCCTTTTTATTTGATGTGTGAAATAGTCTAATTTATACGCGTATATATATATATATATATATTATATAATATATAGAAAAGAAAGCTCTGGTAAACATTAATTTATTTAGATTACATATTTTTATTTAGAAAAAACGAATTGATATGTTTACCAAATTTAACTTCATTGATCCAGGACGGACGACAGAGACAGCCAAGGCATCCTAAAAGGATTCCACTTTAATTCGACGGTTCGGAACTAATATGGGTTCAATCTTTTGCCAGTCTAAGAAAATAATATGTTCTATTGTTTTTCGTTTTTAAAGTTAGTTCATTGGTTGTGTAACTGTCCTTTGTATTTAACTAACGGTTCAATTATTATTGGCCACGTAGACCAAAACTAGACAAGACAATGACAGCACTCATACTGCTATTTGTTATTCACTATGCATCATAACACTTTTATAATAAAATCGTGACTTTTGTTGTTACTTGGAAATAATATTAGATGAATGGGGTATTAATCTAACGGTTAAATGATGTATCATAAGTACTTTGGTTAAGAACGTGATTTGATATTAAATGTGTAAGTATAAAATTCTTTATTCAGTAAGTTGTAAAATCAGCAATTCCACTCAACACTAGACAACAAAAGCGGCTTGTTCCTTAATTTTTTGCTTTATTTGACTTGTTTGTTAAACTTACCTTTTACAAACTAAACGCAAGATCTGCAACCCTGGCAGGGAGCAATCTATGTTTCTCCGAGACTAAACAATGGTAAGAGCAAACATTTTTAATGAAAAGAAACAAAAGGATTCAAAGGCAGTGTGTTTTGACGAATCGGAAGAATTAACAGCCCTGTCTAATTACTTCCAGGAATCCTGTTTTGTTCATCAAACAGTAGAACGTCTGTATCTGCTGTATTCTCTAGATGTTTAAGATCTCGACATGTACTGTACACTTTGGGCCCTTTTCTAGAGGAACAACTTCTTATTGTATGTACTGTATTGGTAACTATCTAACAGGTAGTATTTATTTGCTAAATATCTGTATTGAAAAGAAATTACTTTGCACTGTCTTATCTATGTCATTGACTTTATCTAAGACATTCACTCCCTTGGTGATTACTCATGATGTTTTATTAATGTTATTGTTCACACACTATTCATCAGCAGTTAAACTCATTGTTAGAGTTTTTTTTTCTAACTGCTACAACCTACTATACATACATACACTGTACCTGCAAAGTTTCATTTCATTTATCATCATCATCATCATTCGTCATTTAACATTTATAAGTCAAAAGCTTCCCTAGTTTGTTCTTTTCTAAGAAAGAAAACAATGTAAAATAAAGTAAAAGTAATGGAAGAAGAATTCAACCCAACTATGGAACACATCACAATACACATTATAAAGAAACCGCTTAGGCAAACGCGAGTCTCCTTGGCGCAAAGATTGTTCCGTACAAAGTAAAGTTCGTATGTCTCGGTAATCGATTCTCAAAATTATTTTACCATTTTAAACAAACTGGTAAAAAAACAAACAACAGCAACAACTGGTGACAAACTTAACTTTGCCATCCAAAAATATTCTTCAAAAACATATATATGTGTAAAATTAGGTTATATGAGTTTTATAATCATAAAAACATTTTAAAATTATCAGTGTCATTTCCATGTCTTTTTTTTTTTTCAAGTGAAATGAAATATCTTACGACATCTGGCGACATTGGTGTCTTTTTAAGGACCTACCTACTTCATTTTTCTGTGAGATGCCTTCACAGTCTTATTGTGATCTCGAGATCTGCTATTTTCTTTTCTAGATGTCAAGTACGCGGGACGTCAAGTAACGTTGAATTAAAGCGGGTGGGCATTTCTTAGGGTATACTGATAGTTTCTACTTCTGGATTCTGATAAATAAGACTTACGATATATTTATTGTTTTTCAAAGAAAGAATATATCTTTCGCAATTAATTCATTTTTGCATTCGCTGAAAGCACTGTACAAATCAGTTGGACCGGTCTTCCTTAGGGAACTTTCCAAAGGCTTCATGGAACGCATTCACCTCCGATTCAGGGCTCGTAAAACGTGTGCCTCGTAAGTTTGTCTTTAATTTTTGGAAACAAAAAGAAGTCGCAGGATGCGAGGTACGGGCTGTAAGGCGGATACGTCATTCTTCAGAAGAATGTGAGGATGTGTTACCGTTGTGAAGGAGGACATTGGGGGCTCTGGGAAAGAAAGTATTGATGTACCAATGTGCAATCACTGTCCTTTGATCTTCAATCGATACTGTAATGTGTTGTCCTGATTTGCATAAAAAAGAAGCAACAATTTTTTTACCAATGCGTCGACTATTCTAAACTTAGTCGCCAAATCTTCCAAAGGAAATACTCACTCTACCGACTGGCAATTTCTTTCGGGTTTAAAGCAGTACACCCAGGTTTCGTCACCTGTCACGATATTATAGACAGCCAATGACTGTCCTCCGTTAAACTTTTTCATCATTTTACAGCGCCACTCGACACGAACTCCATTAAGTCATGCGGTATCCATCGAGTGCAAAGCTTCCGAACCTGTCTTCCAGGAATATATCCTGTGACACGGGAGACTTTACATACATTTATGAAACTGGCACAAAGAACACCCAAACTCAGTAAGACAAATTGTGAATCACAAAAGTGTTGCCCTATGTGGGGATCGAACCCACAACACTAGGTGACCGCCAGAACTACTACGCCATCTATGCAGTGACATGTCTTTAAATTGTCTAACGTTTAGACCAGTTTGCACTAGCTGACTGTCTCGGTGGTGCACGCCCGCCGTTGCCGAAGCCGGAACCTGTTCATAAATATAGTTTTACTTTTAGCAATAATAATAACATTTTTATTAGCAAATAGACATAGGAAAGTTTTAAACTGATAACTATAATCTTATATGCACTCAGTATCTATTGATATGATATATTTAATATATATATATATATAAAATTGTATTGTATAGTCTATCTCATAGAGATAGTATAGTCTTTTTGAAAAAAATTGACGTGTTTTCAAGGGCTGGGAAAAAATCCCAAGTCCTAAAACATTTTTCTGTAGTTGTAGGCGTAGAGCCTATAATAATATTTGAAGCGTATAAAGATTGCTACATACGAGTGGTTTACTATAGAGCAATAATTTAAAGAGTTGATTACAGTGCCAATTTCACACGTTCGAGGCGCCATAGTTCTATGACATAAGCGAACTGGTTACCATCGTGAAGACCGTAGAGTTGAAAAAATCAACTCTATACTTGTACTTGAGTTGTGATGTAATAAAACTACTAAACTTGTTGATTCTTAACGCTTAAAAACGATAGCTACATATATCAGATATAATGATCATTTATATATGGTATCTAGTAAAATATTATACAAATAGTAAGTTAAACGTTTAAATGCACAAAACTAAGTGTTGGAAGTATTTCTACTCTTTTTTCCTGTTGTTTACTTACTCTGCATGGGCGGACTTAGCTCTGGCGGTCAGATCAGTTGAATGCACTAAGCTTCGTGTAAAATATGTACAAATATTTAGACAAGGAACGATTTTTATGACAATGATGTCGGTTTATAAGTAGCGATTATTGGCACAATGCTGAAATAATAATAACTTCACACATCTTACGCACGGCAGTCTGATCCCAAAATTGGTAGAGCCTATACTATGGTTACCAGACTGCTGATAAACATACTTATATATTCTAAATACATACATTTTAGAGATAATTTATACCCAGATACAGAAAAAATTATCGTGTTCATAACACTATCAATTCCAGTATTATCCTCGGTGGGAATGGGAACCAACAGGCCAGTTAAATGTTACAATATCATTG